AATCCTTCCTTATTCTAGGACTCTCGTCCCTTATTTGCTTATCTCGGATTTCGATATCTTCGGAGATAGCCTCGGTCTAGCCGAGATAACCTCGGCATCATAACCTGAACACGTGGCACCTCGACTGACACGTCGGCATCACTTTGGCCACGTGTTGGGACTTAGAAAATATATCCCCACAATTATATACTTAAAACCATTAGCATGAAGTATTGTTGAACTTGAACATTACAAAGTAAATGCTAATTGGTGTCTTTAGTAATTTTTTAAAGTATTATTCGTCATACCAAAAAGTTAGTAAATTAATTGTTTAAAGTATGTTTTTAGGGTTTGGGTTCTCTTCATTCGCATGTGTTGTTGGGTTTTATGGGCCTCTATGGGTTCCACATCAACGATTTAAACTATTTAATTTGTTTGATTATAGATCATTTAAAAAAAATAGATTAATCCAATAATCATATCTACACGTTTTGATGATATTTGTTTAAAAAAATTTGAACACAAAATTAATTTTAAAAATAGCCCGTCTATTTATTTATTTTTTTTTTGGAAGACAAATCTCATCAAATCATGAGCTATGGTTATCAGATTAATATGATTTTTTTATAAGTGATCTACACATCTAGTAAAACAAAATATATGATTTAGATTATCAAAGTGAAGCCTGTGGTAGGCCCACCTGCATCTCTGGTGCATATTCCTTTTTTCAATGAGGATGAATATATTTTTTTTATTTTCTTTTTACAAACAATAGGATGTTAATGTGTAAAGTAAATTAGATTATAACAAAAAGACTTTTCAGTTGCTCCATTGACTTTAATCCTGAATCTCTAATATTCTCACTATCTCAAGCACATTTACATAGACCGTTGAATCAATTGTCCTATCTAACGATGATGAATACTTACATATAAGGAAAATATTGGAAGCTAAAAAAAAAATTGGGCAAATTACATATACCCCCCTCGAGGTTTAGCAAAATTACAAATACCCTCTTGAGGTTTGAGAAATTACAAATACCCCTATGAAGGTTATATTTGCATAACAAATTACGGGGTAAATTGTTATGAAAATATAAATCTCAGGGGCAATTTGTTATGAAAATATAAATCTCAAGGGGTATCTGTAATTTTTGAAACCTCAGGGGGATATCTGTAATTTAGCTAAACCTCGAGGGAGGTATATGTAATTTGCCCAAAAAAATTTCTAGTATATTGCATTATTATTCATTTTATTTCAAAAAGTTAATTGTCACTGATTACAATCTATTAACTATCTATCTATCTATATATTATATAAGGAAAATGGAGTTTCTAACTCAGAAGTCTTTCGAGAGTTCGAATATCCCAATATTAATTTTTAAAATTTTTGATTTAAAAAAAAAATTCTCAGCATTTATTAATTTCTCCCAACCTACAAGTTTTTTGGGAGATTTGGTCAAAACTTCCTCATAATAAAACTTTAACGCATTAAGGCCAAGCATAAAAAAATTTCTTGAAAAGTCCAACACATATAATTATTATCAAAATATTAAACTTTAATACAATATAACTTTTGATGTAGATGTCATTTTGTAATAAAATTAATATTTTTAGAATTCTCTCATCAAGATCTATCAAATAAGATCCATATTGACAATGAAATTCTTAATATATATATATATTATCTCTGACAGTAACATGTTACTCTGGTTCACAATAACATGTTACTCTGGCAATATTGTCTAAGAAAAAAAAAAGATATTTTATTTTGTTCTTGCTCAATTATGTATTTTTTCCTTAGGGGGTTTATGATGAAAAATAAATTAGGTTGTCATTTTCATTAAACAAGGGTCCCATGGAGGGGTTTTGACTAAATTTTTCAAGCATTTTTGACTTCTCGCGTACCTACTGCCGCATCATTTTCAATTTCTCTCCTATACTTTGGTTGATGATGAAATTGTTAAATTATTTTCATAAAAAATCAAAAAAAATAATTTGTATATTAAAAAAATATATAAAACAAATATAAATTCTTATTAAAAAATAACAGGTTGCAAAAAAAAAAAAATACTTGTTAAATTATATACTAGTAAAAGGGAAAAGATCTTTAACTTATAAATTTTGTGGGAGCTCTATTATTTTAATCTTAATTTTTAAACTTTCTTATTAAAAAAAATATTTTCCCAAAAAAATAACCTCTCCGCCCTTTTCTGATTAAAAAAACAAAAAAACTTTCCCAAAACAAAAACTTTTCACCCTGCTACCTATTTATTACCTTCAACCCTATTACCTATTACCCCAGCAGCCGAATCAGACCTTACCACAGCAGCCCAGCATCCTCCCTATCACTAGCAGCAACCTTCCGGCAACAGCAGCCTTCCTATCACTGGAGAGAGGAGTTCACATAAAGTTGGAGTCTTCCTACAAGAGCGGCAACAGCAGTCTTCCTATCACTGGGGAGAGGAGTTCACATAAAGTTGGAGTCTTCCTACAAGAGCGGCAACAGCTTTGAAACAGAATTTTAAAAGAAAAATATTTCGAAATTTGTGAGTAAATTATTTATTTTTAAATATTTTTTAATTAGTAATTATATTTTTAAATAGATTAAGAATGATTGTATTTATTAGATTCGCATAAAATATTAATTATTGATGATGATTAGATTGTATTTTATTTTTAATCTAGGTTCACATAAAGTACGCACTATTAATGCTAATGATTAGATTATTTTTTGTAATTGGGTTTTTTAATTTATTTTTTTAAATGATTGTGGTTTTTTACATTCTATTTAATATGTGTATTTTGAAAAAGAAAAGAAAAGATTGTATTCATGTTTTTTGAATACAATCACACGGTGATTGTATTTTTAGTCTATTTAAAAAAAAAAATAGATTGTATTTATTAAATTCACATAAAATACTCACTGTATCTATACATTATATAAATAAAAGGGGATTTTTAACCCATAAGTCTTGTGGAAGTTCCAATATTCTAATCTTAATTTTCTAATTTTTTGATTTAACAAAAAACTCAATATTTATTGATTTCTCCCAACACACAAGCCCTTTTGATTTCTCTCATATCTACTGTTTCTCCCATACGTTATGGCTAGTGATGGAATTATTAAATTATTTTTATAAAAAATCTAAAAGAAAAATAATTTGTATAGTAAAAAAAAATCTGAAACAAATATAAATTCTTATTAAATCTATTTATTTATCTATCCATATATTATATAAGTAAAAGTTTGGGAACTTTAATATCTCAAACTAAAATTTCTAACTTTTTGATTTTAAATAATTGAAAAAATTTCTATAGCTCTCATTCAAACAATATATATACATATATAATATCTCTAGATTTATGATTTTCAAATGGAAAGTGTATCAAATATATAAAATAAAAAATAGAAAGTATATTAACCCATTTCAAAATTCAAATTTGAGGGGCGCTAAATAAGGAAAGCATTCCATTAATGGAAAATTTACCCATAAGTCCTAGTTTCTGAAAAGTTGAACCATTTAGTCCTAAAAGTTTTCTTATGCTCCATTTAGTCCCATTTGCACATCAATCTAATGTTTGAAACATTAATCTGATGTTCGAAATCTAATGTTCGAAACATTAATCTGATGTTTGAAACATTGTAATGGGACCTTTCAGTCTATAAGAAAACTTTTAGGACTAAACAGTGTATAAGTTATTAATTTGGGATTTATTGGTGCATCCCCCTTTTTTTTAACACCAAATTAATTTGTATTTTTTTGAACTTTTTTCAAAAACTGTTCTAGAAAACTAAACCAAACGGATGAAGAAGATGTGTAATAGAATTTTCAATCTTTAATATTTTCTTCCATTAAATTTAAATTTGATTAAACAGTGATAAAAAAAATTATTTCCAATATTTTTATCAACTATTTATTAAATCAACAAATGATTATTTATTTTGATCAATTTGAAAATTTATCAAATATTTTATTAAATTTGAAAAAGATTTTGTAAAAAATTTAATAAAAAAATTGAAGTAATATCAAAGTTAATTTTTTATTCAAACATAAAATCAAATTAAATTGAAAAAAATAATAAAAATTTGGAAATATATACTTTTAAAAAATAAAATAAAATCATTGCGTAAATGGAAGGCACCACCTAGTAACTCTATTCAAATCATCATCAACACAGATCAACACTCGCTGGCTCCGACGAAAACCGCGTTTCATTATTTATTTACCGTCTTAACCGTGATGACGGAGATACAGAGAAATACAGAGAGGGAGAGAGGTGAAAACAATTTGACGACACAAGACGTGACGGAAGGTTTTCTCTGTGCAACTTGGACTAACGTATTCCCAAAACAGACAACACAACCGCAAACCAAACAGCGAACAGAGAAACAAAAAAGAAAGAAACACAAACGTAAACGGAGACTCCTTTCCTTTATCTCCCCCCCTCTTCATTATCCCTTCTCTCAATCGATCCCTTTCTCTCTCTATATCTACACCTCCCCCAATATATATATATATACCCCGGTTCGCCGGCGAACATTACATCGGTTTTCCGACCGAAACCCTAACACCATTTCAATTGTAAATCTTTAAATTATTTTTTAAATTAAAAAAAAAATTCTTTTCTTGTGAAAAAATATTTTTTTGTATTTTAGGTTTGATTTTGGTTTGGTTTTGTTTGATTTGGTAGATAGTACACGGAAAAGAAGGTTTGAAATTTGTTGTTTCTGGACGTGTATTCACTTGTTTGTTATTGTAAGGGAACAAATTTTTTTTTAAAAAAAATAAAATTTGGAGATAGAACACGACGGGGAATTGAAGCGTTTTTGTTCTGATTCGGAGTTTCAGTTCGTGCGTTTTGGGGGTTTGCGAAGTTTTTTGATTTTTTTTCTAGGTGTTGGGTGGAGATGGAGACACCTGTGAACTGAGGCTTGTGAATTTTCTAGGGCTTTTTCTTGTTCTTCTTTGTGGGGAGGGCATATAAAGGGACACAGTTTATGGTTATGATCGGTGTTAGAGAGAGTTTGGAGAATCAGAGGGTTTTGATTTCTGGGTTCTCTGTGTTGTTGTTTGGGTTCTGCTGTCGTTGCGGATGAGGAATGATGGCAAGAAACCGCAGGGACTTGTGCCGCGGCCTGGACGGACCAACGGGCTTATCCCGACTTCGTTTCGTGCTCTCTCCAGTTACTTGAGGATCGTCTCGTCCGGTGCTTCCACTGTTGCTTCCACTGTGAAGTCGGCAGCATCGGCTGCTTCGGCCATTGTGGACAGGGATAATAATGATGCCAGCCACGATCAGGTCCGAGTTTAAATTGATTTCATATCTATTATCAATACAGTGATGTATATGGCAACTTTATTTTTAGATAATGATTGAAATGAAACTAGTGTAATTTTCTCCTGAAATGATGATCCTATGCAATTATTGTTTCATGGGTTGAATCTTGAATAAGTATGTGGCCATTAGTTTCTGCTTTCAATTCTTTAATCATCTTAATTAGTTGTAAAGATTATATACCTATTAAATTATGGAAAAATTCTGTTATTGATCTGGTACCGCTAGAAAAATAGAGTAAGAATATTATAGGTTAGCAACCTAGATTATGAGGATATGAACCTGGATTATTACATGGTGGATATGTAATACAATACATGGAAGTTGTTAAGAATGGTAAGACATTGCATAGGAGTTCCATAACTGAAAACTAGAGAGCCAAGAAATAATCTATGGCATTTGATTATTGTTATATAACCTAGTACAATAGATTAAGAAAAGTGAAGATCGAAATTATGCAAAATGATCGTTTCTGGATGAAATTGCTGTGCATGCAAGTTTTGTTTGTTTTTGTTGGGCAACCTTCATTCAGTCCAATTGTTTGTCAAGAAGGTTAAGTCTTAATACTTCAGGGTTTTTGCAGGATGATTGACCAATTGATGATTTTCTTCTTACAATTGCAAGAGCACTTACACGTGCTTTGTTAAATATTGGTCAATTTTGTTGTATTATTCTGTTTGTTCGAGTTATTTGAGGATCTAATTTATGATATTTCTAAGTGCACTTTTCATGTGTTTATATAAACAGTCCACTGGACTTCGAGATGCATGCATTTGAGTTGACTTGTTGAGACTTTATTAGATTTTGAAGTGGACTTACCTTGTTTTTCTTGATAAGAGGACAAATATGAAGATACCTGCGGTTTAGTTGAGTTGTCGAGATATATTTATTAGGTTTGCACGTGGTTTTACCACCTGCTTGATTTGATAATTGGACAAAATTTCAATACACAAGCACTTTGATTGTGCTATCGAGATAAATGCAGAACTTTTGCACGTGGAGATACTATGTGTTTGTTCTGATAATCCGACAAGTTTTCTGCTGGTTGACTCACTGGAGATTCATCATATTTGTTAGTGGACTTTGCCACGTATATGTTTCAATAATCAGACAATTTTAGAGGTGTGTCATTTGTTGCTAGTGAGCTGTTTGGTTCTTGTAATTGGACACCTTTGACTCTTCTACCGTTGGTTTTTTAATCTTTTATTTATTATTATGTTTTTGGATGTCACATGAAGTGGGTGATTTTAGTTTGTTCTGTTGACACTGTATTGTTTTGTTAAGTTTATTGTTTTTTTCTTTTGGCCACAAGGTCTCAACCTTTCAAGTGACTTTCTTTGCATAGTTCTCAACTCATTAGTTCTCATACAAAGCATATGACCACAAGACTTGTATTCAACATTCTTTTAAATTTACCCTTTAAAATCTATATATGAAAGCAAAAGAGGATTCACAAATAAATTCTTACACCAAAAATGAATAATTAAGCAATAAAGACATTTTGCGATTTCGTATTCCACTGTGGTGTTGAATGGACTGTTAATGGCGATGCACAGAGAAGTTATAGGTATGGGTATGCTTTACATTTGGAATAGATGATCTATCCCAAGGGTTCTTCACCTTGTACTTTCACGTCTACATTGAGTATACATCATCTCTGTGCATGTCCACGTGCATGGGCAACAATATTTATGAGTGGTTTATTATAGTTAAAGTGCAAGCAGTCTTTCTCTCTTTGAGAATTAATTCTTCTGAGGTTCATTTTCACTATAAATTCATGTATTTGAGATCTAGGAGGGGAGATGACTTATTTGGTTCTTCATTTTTACAAATAAAAGGTGCTCTGGGCTGGGTTTGACAAGTTAGAATGCAAGGGGGGCATCACCAGGCAAGTTCTCTTGCTGGGCTATCGGTCTGGTTTTCAAGTTTGGGATGTTGAAGAAGCAGATAACGTGCGTGACCTTGTTTCCAGACATGATGGTCCAGTTTCATTTATGCAAATGTTACCTAAACCAATAGCATCAAAGATAATTGGCGACAAATTTGTAGATAGTCGCCCACTACTGGCTGTTCGCACAGATGTCCTTTCTGGAGTTCGGGATACAATAGCAACTCCATATAATGGGAGCACCTCAAATTGCCATGATCCACTGAATGGTGGTCTTATGCCAACTGTTGTTTCGTTTTATTCCTTGAGATCTCAATCTTATGTACATGAGCTTAAGTTCAGATCAGTTGTTTATTCAGTGAGGTGCAGCACCCGAGTTGTTGCCGTCTTACAAGCAGCTCAGGTACATTCAATCATATACTTTTCAAGCATTCATATCTTCTCTCATATCAGAGCATGAAAGTGGAGTTTTGTGTGCTACAGATACACTGTTTTGATGCTGCTACGTTAGAGAGGGAGTATACTCTCCTTACAAATCCAATAGTTACTGGGTGTTCTGGATTTGGAGGTATAGGCTATGGACCTCTTGCAGTGGGACCCAGATGGTTGGCTTACAGTGGAAGTCCAGTTGCAGTTTCAAATGCTGGGCGTGTCTGTCCACAACATCTTACCCCGTCTGCAAGTTTTTCTGGTTCTTCTTCAAATGGGAGCCTCGTTGCACACTATGCAAAAGAGTCAAGCAAGCAACTTGCTGCTGGGATTGTGACCCTAGGGGACATGGGATATAAGAAGCTGTCAAGATACTATTCTGAGCTCTTACCTGATAGCAACAATTCTGCCCAATCAGGGAGTCCTGGCCTTAAAATCAATGGGACTGTCAATGGCCATTTTCCAGATGCAGAAAATGTTGGAATGGTATATATTCTTTTTCTCAAGTTTGTTTCCACTTGTGTTGTGGTTGTAACCATTTTTAGCTGCTCTCTCTGTCTCTCTCTCTCACACACACACACACACACACACACACGATAATGTCTTATCATGAATGCGGCTTTTCTAGCCTTGCTTCAGTCAAAACACAGTTCTGCTTTATAGAAATTTTGAGTGTTACATTTATTTGTTTCTGCCCTTATTTGAATTGGCGTCTTAGGATGAATATTTATCTCAATTATTGATCAGCACCTGATTTTCTCTGAGTTGTGCTGTTTTGGCTTTCTTGTGATGAAGTTACCTGTGAAGGGAACTGATTCTAACTTGATCCATTTGTCTCAATACATGTATCATTGTGGGAATTTACATTTTAAAGTCTTTTTGTTCTTACTATAACCTTCATTTTTCAGGTCATTGTCAGAGATATTGTCAGTAAAGCTGTTATCACCCAATTTAGGGCACATAAAAGTCCCATTTCATCGTTATGTTTTGATCCTAGTGGGATGCTTTTGGTGACGGCTTCAGTTCATGGCCATAACATAAATGTATTCCGAATAATGCCTGGACCATTGGGAAGTTCCTCTGGACCAGATTCTGGTGCATCTTATGTACATCTTTGTAGGCTGCAACGTGGTTTTACAAATGCAGTAAGGCATTATATTTGTTTCATCTTTTGGCTTTAATGTGGAATTTCTAGCTAATATAAATTTTCTAATCTTTATTATTATTATTTTAATTTTTTTTCTCCAGGTTATAGAGGACATCTGTTTCAGTGATGACAGCCACCGGATTATGATAAGTTCCTCAAGAGGGACAAGCCATCTGTTTGCTGTATCTCCTTCAGGGGGTTTAGTTAATTTCCAGTCGTTTGATGCTTGTTTTACCGATAAAAATTGTGGATCAGGTGTTATGACTAAGCCTGCTGCTGTACATTGGCCACCAAATTCAAGTTCACAGATGTTTAATCAACAGAACCTTTGTGCATCTGGTCCTCCTGTTACCCTTTCTGTTGTTAGCAGAATAAGGAGTGGAAACAATGGTTGGAGAAGCACCGTAACTGGTGCTGCGGCCGCTGCAACAGGGAGGATGAATTCACTTTCTGGGGCTATCGCTTCTGCTTTTCACAATTGCAAGGGCAATGATTTACATGCAGGTGCAAGCTCCTTGAAGGCAAAGTACCATCTCCTGGTTTTCTCTCCTTCTGGCTGTATGATACAATATGCGTTGCGGGCATCTTCTGGGCTTGATTCTGCCGCAGTTGTGTCTGGATTAGTTTCGTCTTATGACTCAGCTCCTGAAAGTGATGCAAGATTATTAGTTGAAGCAATCCAAACGTGGAATATTTGTCAGAAACAGAGTCGAAGAGACAGAGAAGATAATAGTGACATCTATGGTGAAAATGGATATTCAGACGGCAGTAAAATATTTCCTGAAATAATAAAAAGGGAAAATAGTGGCTACCTTGAGGCCAGGAGTTCAGTTGGGAAAGTAAAGATCAGTCCTGAGGAAAGACATCATCTATTTATTTTTGTCTCTCTCTCTCTCTCTCTCTTTCTCTCTCTCTCTCTCTCGTTCACTTTTCACCAACTGGATGATTGTTCATCGTCTTCACCATCTTCATCGACTATCAATGTCGTTCATCCTCACCGTCGGTTGGCAACCACCATTTTTACCGCTAAACCACCACCATCTCAGATTTAATACCTATGAACTCATATTTGAGATCAATAACTTCAGATCAGAGATATAAAAAAATTTAGATTTGACAGAAGAATGAAAAATCGAGATATTGCAATGAAAAATTAAGGTGGAGTTTGGTAGAGCTTTCTAAATATAATTTGAGAATAAGAGTTGTATTTTGAGTTTGTGAGTTTTGAAATTTTGATTTGAGTGTGGAAAATTTGTTTGGTGAATAAGTTTTGAAAAGAGTTTTGAATTGAGTGGGGAAAATTGATGTGACATATGATAGTTGATACAAAAACTTACAACTCATAACCAAACACACAATTCAAAATTCTATTAAAGTTTATAAAAATTTTTAAAAAATTCAGAAAATATTTTTTGTTGAATATATGAAAATTAACATGTGTCAATTGCAAAAAAAAAATAATAATAATAATTGCACTGTTCCGATCAACTGGCCGGACAACCGGTGGAACGACCAATTAACCCAAATTTTCCCGCCTTCGACCGAGTTTTCAAAAGTGAACGTAAAATTTGTTAAGATTATGAGGCACCAGAAATCAATCACACACAATAACACGAGATTTTCATGGTTCGGCAATTGCCTACGTCCACAGAGAGATATCCACTATAGAATTTCCCAGAATGAGTTTACACCACTCACACCTCACTTACTCTCTATAGCACTCTCACTCACACACTTGTTTGCTCTCTTTCTCTCTCTCTCTGTGTTTTCTCTGCCCTTGCTGCCTATCTTCTCTCTACTCTATCTTCCTCTATTTATACATGTTGATAAGAGGAGAAGTCAAGGCTTTATTTGTGAGTGGGGCGGTTGCCAACCCCACCCATCTTCAGTGGGAAGGTGCCACCTCCACTCTCTCCAAAGTGGGTTAGCCTAATGGAAGAAATGATCACCCCTCACATGGGGTGATCTCCAATAAATCACCCCCTTAACCTATGTGAGGTGATCCACAATAGCACCCCCTGCCTGGAGTGCCCTGCACCCCTTCACTAGGGTGCCATGCAAAGCTTATTTTGCAACTCTTTGTGACTGTATCTCTCCCTTCCATGTAGTCTTGGAGGGATCGCAATATGTTTCTAATTCAGGAGCAAAAGAAACTCTTTTTTTCCCTAGGACATGCTTTGCTGTCTTGGTCTCTTTGCTCTGAGCTTTCTTCAAAATTGGCTGCAATGGCTCTGTTTTGTGCACCTTTAAACTGCCTCCATGCGTTCTTGTACACTTTGGTTCGATAAAAATTGTGGATCAGGTGTTATGACTAAGCCTGCTGCTGTACATTGGCCACCAAATTCAAGTTCACAGATGTTTAATCAACAGAACCTTTGTGCATCTGGTCCTCCTGTTACCCTTTCTGTTGTTAGCGGAATAAGGAGTGGAAACAATGGTTGGAGAAGCACTGTAACTGGTGCTGCAGCCGCTGCAACAGGAAGGATGAGTTCACTTTCTGGGGCTATTGCCTCTGCTTTTCACAATTGCAAGGGCAATGATTTACATGCAGGTGCAAGCTCCTTGAAGGCAAAGTACCATCTCCTGGTTTTCTCTTTTTTTATGGCTGTATGATACAATATGCGTTGCGGGCATCTTCTGGGCTTGATTCTGCCGCAGTTGTGTCTGGATTAGTTTCGTCTTATGACTCAGCTCCTGAAAGTGATGCAAGATTATTAGTTGAAGCAATCCAAACGTGGAATATTTGTCAGAAACAGAGTCGAAGAGACAGAGAAGATAATAGTGACATCTATGGTGAAAATGGATATTCAGACGGCAGTAAAATATTTCCTGAAATAATAAAAAGGGAAAATAGTGGCTACCTTGAGGCCAGGAGTTCAGTTGGGAAAGTAAAGATCAGTCCTGAGGAAAGACATCATCTATTTATTTTTGTCTCTCTTTCTCTTCATCATGTCTGGTTTTATTCCACCTACACATCATTAACTTTAGAAAGTAAGATTTAAAAATTAAACTTATATACTCCCTCCGTCCCAAAATAATGGTCCCTTTTGGGGAATCCAACTTTTTTTGGTAGTACAATTATTGTACTTTTAAAAAGTTGGTTTTCCAAAATTATCCTTTTGATAGTACAT